TATTAAAGCCAATACCTTTTATTTTCTAAAAGTCAAATATGATCACAACAGATGCCAAATTATTACTATTAGAAACTGTCTAACAGTTTCTTCAGTTTAAGTGATGTGCTGAATACAAGATGAAAATATATTTAGTAGTAGAAAATGGAAAATATTTGTCATTTTTAAATAAATATTCATGAAATGTGTAAGACATTGCATAATTGGTTGTACATATTCTATTGCTAATTCTGCTTCTATTAAGTGAACAATATTATTTTTCTCTGTCAAATTTAGCTAATACTCCTATGATATATATGTATGTGCAGGGGAGAGAGAAAGAGAATGATTAGGGATATAAGACTGTACTGAACTAAACTGAAGGCTTCCCTAGTTTATCATTCCATTACCATTGGATGCCTATGGAGAAGTTCACAGACACGACATGTGTGCTATACCATCCTCTGACTTGATTATTCTATAATTGATGCTGATATATATAGTGTCTCTGACACTAGTGGCTATACACACATACACACACACATTATAACTAATAGCCATTGATATTCTTAGCCTCCATGAATTTGCCTTATTCCCTTGTAAAGCTATCTAGTTTGGTGGACTGGATTAATAAACTAGTCCAATTTATCTGTGAAGTGTCAGTTGGCTTCAAAATAAAGGAAGATAAATAAAATGAACAATCCATATGTATCGTTATACATTTTTGGTGTTGGATGATAAAGATTTTTTTACAATCCATGCATCTGAAATTTCTAAATGGGCAGGAAAGTTAGATATTTTTACTATGATCATAGACCTGCGTAAAAATAATATATAGATATAAGTATAGGTATAATAAAAATTTCAGCAAATCAAATAAGGACAATCTTAGGAGTAGGAATTACTTCTTTATATTTGGCTTGAATTACATAGAACCCAAACATTTTCATTTAGCAGTGGGAATTCTGTGGAAAAATGTAGCCGTAAAGCAGTGGTACTCTTTTACTTTACAATTTTAGAGTTGTGGAACAAACTACAATCATTAATATTAAAAGAAAGGATGTGCATAGTTACACTGCATAGCATTCTAATAATTTCCTAGAAATGTAAAGGAAACGAACACCTTTCAGAATATATAATTCTCAAAACTTCCACATGAAGCATTATATTTTGACATAGCTTGAATATGTAGAGATACTCAAGGAAACGATATTATCATTTTTTCAGTATGCTGGTCTAAACTGGGTTTTAGTTTGTTTTATATTGGTGCTATAGAACTCTATAAGCTATATCATATTTTTCCTTCACGAACAAAATTAATTCTCATATTCATCATAATATTATTTCAGATATAAGTCTGTGTGTGTGTGTGTGTGTGTGTGTAAAATAAATTTGGCTTTTCATATCCAGAACTATTGCAATCACTTACTTTGGGATGCAGAATAAGCTTTGAATGTCTTGGCCCATTTCATGTTTATATGATGTCTTTTTCTGTAATGAAAAACAGTCACTGTTAATTATATTGTTGCTATACTTTTCTTGTGACACAAAATTGATTCTGGAAACTATTTCCATGTTGAGCTAGCATACTGTTTGTAACAATATGTTAATTATAGGTAAACGTTTTGGTTTGCAGAAAGAAGACATACCATGTTAATTCTGAATCTATGCACCCTGTGAATTTGAGGATACCATATATTACATCTTTATAGATACATGTATATCTGTGATGTGTACATTATGTAGGTTTTAACTGTTAAAACACATACTAATCATTAAATAAGAATGGTATAGACATCCTCTAATTATGGGTTTAATATTGCATGCCTTAAACTCTACTGAAAGTTTTACTAATAAGATAAGGGCTTGGAAACAATGACTTACTCTATCATCAGCTTGAGGTTGGACTGTTTGGACTATATATGGGCTCCCTTTGAAACTATCATTGTACACAATGAGAGAGTTGCCACAACCATGTGACACTGGTTCTGTGGTCACTGCATAGGCTACAAATAGATTTTTTTAGTACAATTCAAAGTGCTTAGTTTAATGTATAAATCTCATGTGGCTTGGCTTCCGGGTACCTTCAGACTTTATCCAATGGAATTTACCCATCCTATATATTCAACTGAGTGGAAAATGCTTTGGGTTTCATTCTCTCTTAAGATTTTGAAGGTAGACCCAGAAATAGAGCTTCTCAGTAGCTGCCTGTCCAGATGGCTCCTATCTTGCTATAATTTAGAAAGCAGTTAAAACTGTTTGCTTTGTAGGGCCTTCAAGTTTTAATGGTCTGCTCACATGTCATCATTTGGGAGGGTGTAGTTTTGGTTTTGTTAACTATTTTTATTGATTTATGATAGCTTCATTATGTTATTTTTTATTTTGTTTTTATGAATATAAACTATTGAGAGTTTTTCAAATGTAACATATACATATCATGTAAGTAAATAAATAAGATGGACACTAACAGCTGTTGGAGTGTCACAGTTTTGGAAATATACTGTACTTCTGCAGGCACAAGTGTGCAGTGCATCATAAATGACCTTGATCTTTTGGTATGGTTCTGTTCTCTTCATAGTCAAATCCTTAAAAAAAGTATTTGTTATCAATTAGTGGGAACACAAAAACATGTAAACCTATGAATTCTTAAATTTTGCTTCCTCTGTGCATCAGGAATGTCTGTTGAAAATCACCAGAATGTATTTCCTGAATAGGAAGAATGAAATGGTTGTGTGTAAGCATCTTAAATATATACTTAATCTTACTTACTTATATGACTCTCCTTCAATTTTCAGAAGTATAGAGTGTCAAATATTGAATTATTATCTCACAATCAGTCTAAAAATAAGAATAATTAGGTTTATTTTAGGTATAAATCTTTATGGCTTCTATTAAAAATAAGTTATAACAAAGTTGAAATAAAACTTTGGACACTTGGGGGAGCACTTGTGTTAGCTGAGTAACAGCTAACAGAATAGTAACAGCTAACAGAATAATCTCAGTTGAAATCATTTAATATTGCTATTTTCATTTCAGTGATAAAGAACAGCCATCTCAGACAGGCATAATTATTTTTGTTTAATTATTAAACAATATATATTATATCTTAAGTCTAAACCCAGAATTTTGTTTTCAAAGGATCAGGACTCACATTCCAATTTTCGGCTCGGCAGAGCCAGCTGTTCTCTAAAAAAATTCCAATTTTTAAGTTTCTTCTTCTGATTCAGGAGTTCC